AGTTTGTGGTTCTGTGAGCACCTGCTCTTCAGTGTCAACATTGAGGGCGCCTGGCCTTGCGATGGTTTTCTGGTTCTGTTTTCACTCTTCTTCCCGCTCATCTGGACGTCTCTTTCTGAAGCCACGCCCGTCTCCAAGCAAAATGAAGGCTGTAGGAACAATCTGCGTGCGCCCAGGTGCGTCAGGGTGCACACCTTGACACAGGCTCTGTTTGTGGCAGTTGCGCATCGAGCTTGCCCACGTTGGTCATCGGCCAAATCGTGGGCCTCCCTTGAACGACACGCGCGTTTGTAAAACTCAAGCACGTGCCACTGTAAAGGATTGTAGTTGTTCCAGCCACGCTGGTCCTTTTTTTCACATCGACCACGCCGATCCACGCAGAGGGTCGATTGGGAATGTTGCAAAGTAGAAAACGTCCTCAGGTTTGCAACATCAAGTTGGTGCAGGCCCGCCGCATTAAAAGAGTAATTTATACTTGTCGAACTTTACTTACTTTCACGCGCGAGTTCACTTGACTTACGACTCTAACCAACCATCACAAAAAAACATCTCGTGTATCATCCTTGTGTAACTTGCTTGTGTAACTTGCTCAGGCAATCTCTCACGCAAATCACTAGCGCAACTTGCTCTGGTGTGTCATTCTCACGTTGCTTGCTCTAGTGACCTGCCATGTAACTCTCTGCTGTAACTTGCGCAGTGTAATGTTATCCTTGTGTAACTCGCCTATGTAACTTGCTCAAGAACCCTCTCATGTAACCTGCTTGTACAACTCGCTCAAGCAATCTCTCATGTAACTCGCTAGTGTAACTTGCTGAAGCAATCTCTCGTGCAACTCGCTAGCGCAATTCTGGTATATCTCTACTTACTCGTGTAGCTTGCTCTAGCGACCTCCGATGTAACTGGCTGGTGTGACTTGCTCAGTGTAACTGTACTTGCGCAACTGGCACCAGTTTTTTCCGGAAGAACCCTTCGCAATGCTGTCAGGAAAAAAGTTTTGCAGCAAAGGAATATAGGTGATAGCAGTTGGTCTCTCTAAAACTTTTGATGTGAGAAGTGTTCTAGCTCCGTCTAGCGACCAACAAATGTTAGGCCCTACTCGTAGAGGTCAAAAATCTTTGTGGGCAATCGCAACACTCGAGTTCTGAATCTGAGTTGTTCTGCTGACATGCGGTGGTGTTGCAGGTGGGGTTTGCGAGCTCTTCTGGTTTCGTGGTAATGCGACGACTGACTCAGATGTAGCATAGGCTGACGCTTCTTGTGTTGCAGCAGCGCTGACCTGGTGATGGAAATATCCTGTCTGCTGGCTGGTCAAGGGGGTTGTTGCGCTGTGAGCAGTGATGTCCTGGCCACAATTCTGGTGTTGGTGTTGTGTTTGGTGAAGCTGCCTTGATCCGCCAGTGTGGGAACCTATGGTTCCTTTGAGCAGCGTTGGACGCGCAAATGGTTTGATCTCGTCGTCATCGGCTGCCTTGGTTGCTGCCCTCAAGTTGCGTTGTTTGCAAAAGGCTGCTAGACCATTTGTCGCATGACCGCTACTGACTGCATACTGGTGTGGGTTGTCGAACAACACCGAACGCCTTGTGTGTGATCTGGTCACATTGAGCAGTGTGCTCAAGCGTCATGCGAAGGACCAGGCATTTGACCAACGCTAAGCAATATCGAAAGTTGTCCTTGCTCAAGGATATCTATATATGTCACCATAGGCAGCGATGTGTTGAAAAGCAATCAAAGAGTCCAGTCAATCTTGCAAACGCGAACCTCGTGTCGCATGGGATGTTTTCATATTTCGTCCGATGAGGATAGGGTTCTATTGCTTTGTGATGAGTCTCTCAACTGCAAACCAACTACCCCAAAACTTTGCGGGACCTGCTGCGTTTGTAACAAGGAGATTCCCGCACGGACTCTCAAGTGGCAAGGGGCGAAAAGGTAGAACACAAGCGTCGAAGACGCGGCTTTAACCTTTCAAAATATGTTGCTCACGCCGTCTCTGATTGGCATCATTGATTGCCGCATTGCGTCTTCCCACGTTGCTCTGGAACCCAAAGGAGAATCTCGAATTTGCTGATGAAGGTCTAAATAGGAACGCATGCTTTCAAGAACTAGCTGCTAAGAGTGTTCAGGTAATACTCCGCTCCATTGTCTGGATCTATGAGCATTTCATTGTCCAAGGATTGTGAATGTAATCCAGTCCCTTACCAGATCTTCGCACCGAAGCCTGACAAACACTGCCGCTGTACGATCCAAGAAAAGCCACAGATTCCGAAGAAGTCCTCTTCACATGACATCCTGCTGTCAAAACCTGCTCCGCTACCACAATTCACGTGGATAAGAGGGCTTCACACTGGGCCCCGACTATGAATCTCGAGATCCCGAACACGGATCTGTTCCGGCAAGGTGCCACATGTACATGTTGAGGTAGAAGACCAACGAAGTTAGTCAGTCGCCTTGCGGACACACAAAGCAGCAAGGAGGTGAAACCTCTTTCATCTGTAGCTTATGTTGTCACCAAGCCTAACAATCGGGGGCGTTTATACTCATCCGGAACACTTGAAAAGCAAGTAGGAGTTCAAGCTTGCTGACGCTAGCTTTCGCGATGAGTCCTATCATTCTGTTCAGCGCTACATGGAATTGAACAAGGAGCCCCCCTGCGTTGACTTCCTTTCTATCGTTGACAAGGTCTTGGGCGATTGTCGTAGACTTGTGGGCGTGCTCTAGACCCTAACTTTCTACGCCAACTGTTTGGCAGCGTGTGGCCAAGCAGAACCTGGCATTCCAGTAAATTCTGGCACCACCACAGATAGCACACCCCTCCAGGATCGGGCAAAGGGCAGAACTGATGCGTTGATGGGGTTTCACGATAGCACAATGCCCCAGCTTTGAAAACATTTGGAGGCTTGAAGGACAAGTTACGCATATGCTCTCCGCCTGAGCACAACACCTTGTGCAAGAAACTGGCACGCATGCCCCATCGGCGTCCTCTGCCCCCGGCTCGGAACCTGCCAGCGCAAAATCTCTCGCGCGATCTGTTCGGCTGTCTTCGTCTTTCAGCATCAGCAGCAGCAGCAGGACCGCCACCGCCAACATCAGCGCCAGCAGCAGCCGCAGCGCCACGACCACCACGGCCACCACCAACACCAGCAGCAGCCGCAGCAGCACCAACAACGCACCAGCAGCAGCAGCAGCCGCAGCAGCACCAACAATGGCACAGACAGCAGCAACACCAGCGGCAGCAGCAGCAGCCCTGATTGCTGCTTCTGTTGTTCTTGCTGCCGTTGCGGCTGCAGTTGCTGTTGTTGTTGGTGGTGGTAGTGGTGGCGGTGGCGGTGATGTTGGTTGGTACTCTTGTTGATGGTGTTGCTGTTGCTGTTGCGGTTGCGATTGTTGGTGGTTGTGTTGCTGGTGTGGTTGTTGCGGCTGTTGCGGTTGTTATGTTGTTGTTGCGGTTGTTGTGGGTGTTGCGGTTGTTGCGGCCGTTGCAGTTGGTGCGGGTGTTGCGGTTGCTGCGTTTTTTGCGGTTGCTGCTGCTGTGGGTTGGTATTGGTTGTTGTTGTTGTTGTTGTTGCTGCTGCTGCTTCTGCTGCTGCTATTGACGTTGCTGTTGCTGTCGCTGTTGTTCTTTTTGTTCTTGTTGCTCTTGTTGTTCCTGTTGTCGTCGTCCTCCTCGTCGTCATCATCCTCGTGGTGGCTGGTTGTTGGTTGTTGGTTGTTGGTTGTGGGTTGTGGGTTGTGGGTTGCGGGTTGCGGCGGGCTGTTGCGGGTGAAGGTGGTGGGCGTCGGGCGGTGCGTGGTGGGCGGCGGGCCGGTGGGTGGCGGGCGGGTGGTTGGGTGGTGGTGGGTGGTGCGGCGGTTGGTTGTTGGCGGTGTGGGCTGCGGGGATAATAACGTGCGTCGTGGCCTTCTGCGTATCATCATCATTACCATGACGTCTGGGGCGGGGGGGGGGGGGGGGGAATAACGGACGTGGTCCACTGCATCGTCGTGACGGGGGGGTGCCGTAGCGCGCGTGGGCGACTGCAGTGTTGCGGGTGGCCAACGATGTACGTAGTCTACTGCGCAGCAGGATCATTATCACGGCGAAGGGCGTGCTGCCCCGCGCGGCGAAGGCCGTGGGTAATGTGCCCCGGGACCTTTTTGCATTGCGGTATAATCTTATCTTAGCGGCTGCGAAAAAAGACGTGCGGCGATCTCTGGGCAAAGAATTGGCAGAGATCAGCGTCACATGATCCGGCAGCTGCAAAAAACACCACCGTCAGTTACGCCACCGTTACCTTGTTGTTGGTTGCGCTTATTGTTGTCGCTATTATTGTTGTGTGTTGTTTGTTGTTTGTTGTTGTTGGTGTTGCGGTTGCCAGTTGTCGGTTGTCGGTTGTCGGCTGTCAATCGTCGGTTGTCAGTTGTCGGTTGTCGTCTGTCGTCTGTGGTTTGTGGTTTGTGGTTTGTTGTTGCTTGTTGGTTGCTGGTTGTTGGTCGTTGGCTGTTGTTGGTTGTTGGTCGCTGCTTGTTGGTTGTTGGTTGTTTGTTCGCTCGCTCGTTTGTTCGCTTGCTCGTTTGTTGTTGCTGTTTGTTGTTGTTGTCTGTTGCTGTTTGTCGTTTGTTGTTGTTGCTGTTGTTGTTATTGTTGTTGTTGTTGTCGTTGTCGCTGTTGCTGTTGCTGTCGTTATCGCTGTCGCTGTCGCTGTCGCTGTCGCTGTCGCTGTCGCTGTCGCTGTCGCTGTCGCTGTCGCTGTTGCTGTTGCTGTTGCCGCTGTTGTTGTTGTTGCGGTTGTGGTTGTGGTTGTGGTTGTGGTTGCGGTTGTGGTTGTGGTTGCGGTTGTGGTTGTTGTTGGTTGTGGTTGTTGGTTGTGGTTGTTGGTTGTGGTTGTGGTTGCGGTTGTGGTTGTGGTGGTGGCGGTTGTTGTTGCTGTTGTTGTTGCGGTTGTTGTTGCGCTTCGTTGTGGTTGTGGTTGTGGTTGTTGTTGTGGTTGTTGTTGTCGTCGTTGTCGTTGTCGTTGTTGTTGTTGCTTGCGTTTGTTGCTGCTGCTGCTGTTGCTGTTGCCGTTGTTGTTCTTGTTCTTGTTGTCATCGTCGTGGTTATAGGTTGTCGGTTGTTGGTTGTGGGTTCTGGGCTGCGGGCTGCGGTTTGTGAATTGCGGGTTGCGAGTTGCGGGCGGTGGGCTGTTGCGGGTGAAGGCGGTTGGTGGCGGGCACATGGTGGGTGGTGGGGGCGGTGGGTGGCGGGCGGGCGGTTGGGCGGCGGTGGCTTGTGTGGCGGTTGGTTGTTGGCGGTTGGCGGTTGGCGGTTGGTGGTTGGTGTGTCGGTGGGTCGGCGGGTTGGTGGGTTGTGGGGTTCTGGTTGCGGGTTTCTGGTCGCGGGTCGCGGGTTGCGTGTTGCGGGTTTGCAGGTTGCGGGTTGGGGGTTGCGGGCTGTGGGCTGCGGGTCGCGGATTGCGAGTCTTTGTTTGTTGTTGTTGTTTGTTGTTTGTTGATTGTTGTTTGTTGTTTGTTGCAGTCTGTTGTTGTTTGTGTTGTTTGTTGCTTTTTGTTGTTCGTTGCTCGTTGTTGTGTGTTTTTGTTTGTGTTTGCTGCTTGTTGGTCTTGTTGTGCGTTGTTTGTTGTTTGTTGTTGTGGGTTGTTGTTTGTGTGGTTTGTCGCTTTTTTGCTATTTGCTGCTTGTGGTTGTTGCATGTTGTTGTCTGTTGTTTGTTGTTTGTTTGTGTTTGTTGTTTGTTGTTTTGTTGTTTGTTGCTTGTTGTTTGTTGTTTGTTGTTTGTTGTTGTTGCTGTTGTTGTTTGCCGTTGTTGTTGTTGGTGCTGCTGGTGCTGTTGTTGTTGTTGTTGTTGTTGTTGTTGCTGTCGCTGTCGCTGACGCTGTCGCTGTCGCTGTCGCTGTCGCTGTCGCTGTTGTTGCTGTTGTTGCTGTTGTTGTTATTGTTATTGTTATTGTTATTGTTGTTGTTGATGTTGTTGATGTTGTTGAAGTTGTTGTTGTTGGCGGTGGTGTTGCTGCTGCTGCTGCTGCTGCTGCTGTTGTTGTTGTTGTTGTTGTTGTTGTTGCTGTTGTTGTTGTTGTTCTTGTTGTTGTTCTTGTTGTTGTTGTTCTTCTTCTTGTTGTTGATATTGTTGTTGTTGTTGTTGCTGGTTTGTTTGTTTGTTTGTTTGTTTGTTTGTTTGTTTGGTTGGTTGGTTGGTTTGTTTGTTTGTTTGTTTGTTGTTGTTGGTTGTGGTTGCGGTTGTTGTTGTTGTGGTTGTTGTTGGCTCCGGCGGCGCGAAAAGGGTATTTCGATTGGGCTGGCCTGTTTTTTTTGCAGCGCTACCTGCGCAGTCTTCTTTCGCGACGGTTGCGTTGATAACATCGCTGCATCCCTCGGCAACTGCCGTCTCAGGTGAAGATGGCATTGCAAATTTCAAACGGTGGTTCAAGCACCCAGAGCAACACAGCTACAGCCATTGCTCGGCCGTCCGTTCGTTGAACACCATGTTGCAGATGCTGCTTCTTGACACAGAAACAGTTGGAACAAGCAAACCCTTACCGATTGATGTTGACTTGTCTCAACGCATGTCTCCCGCAGCTTCTTTGGGTGTGGGTTGCAGGGATGGTATTGCAGTCACTTTCAACGCAGGTTCTGCTGGCAATTTTTCTTCTAGCAAAATGTTGGGAACTGTGCCTGGAGCACAAATGAAGCAGAAATGACACTTCTACTTCTCAGCACACGCATTCCGTGTGGCAGGCGCAGCGTTTCGTGTCCGAGGTCAGAAAACACCGTTTTGACTGCGCGAGCGCGCAGGTTGCACGAATCTTGGATCTGGGGTTTCTACGCTGGCATGTGCTTTGTGTGGCCAGTGCAGCATTCTACACTCTTCTGAGGCCAGTCATGCGTATCTTGAGTGCAGGCGCAGCAATTCGTGCACGTTGGCCGTCAAGCACATCCGTGCCCGCGCGTGGTAACAACCCATGCTCAAGTGCGTCCTGTGGTTGCGCTTGGGCTTGGGCTTGGCAGCGCCAAACTCATTAACCTGCAAAGGTGTTTCGCCTAGGCGAAAAACAACTTTGTTAACTTTGTTTACGACTCATGTCAGCGCTGCGTCCACCATGACCACGGTGAAGCACACGCGCCCACTCGCGCGTCCACCCGCACACGTGTCAGAGCTGTGTCCACCATGACTGCTGTCAAGCACACGTGTCCACACGCGCTCGTGTCAGACCTGTATTCACCATGACCACTGTTAGGCACACGTGCCCGCGCGGACTTATGTCTGATTTTTGCCTTTTTTGTGGGCGCAGAACACGGATTCATTGACAGCTCCGTTTTGGACCGAAGCGCCCATCAAATTCGCTGACAGTTCCACGGCAGCGAAAGGCTTCGATGCCTCGTTGTAGTTGCTGCTGCTGCTGCTGTTGTTGCTGTTGTTGTTGTCGTTGTCGTTGTCGTTGTTGTTGTTGTTGGGGTTGCGGTTCTTGGTTATTGGTTGTTGTTTGTCGCTGTTACTGTTGCGGTTGCGATTGCGGTTGCTGGCTGTTGGTTGTCGGTTGTTGGTTGTTGGTTGTTTGTTGCTGTTATTGTTGTGGTTGCGATTGTGGTTGCTGGCTGTTGGTTGTCGGTTGTTGGTTGTTTGTTGTTTGTTGCTGTTATTGTTGTGGTTGCGATTGTGGTTGTTGGTTGTTGGTTCTTGGTTGTTGGTTGTTGTTGGTTGTTTGTCTGTTGTTTGTTGTTTGTTGTGCGTTGTTTGTTGTTTGTTTGTTGATCGTTGTTTCTTTTTGCACTGTGTTGTTTGTTGCATGTTTGCTGTTTGTTGTCTCTAGTTTCTGGTTTTGTTCTTGTTCTTGTTGTTGTTCTTGTTTGCTGTTCGTTGTTTGTCGCTTGCCGTTTGCCGTTTGCTGTTTGTTGCTTGTTGTGTGGATTGTTGGTTGTTTGGTTGTTTGTTGCGTAGTGTTTCTTGTTTCTTGTTTATTGTTCCTTGTTTCTTGCTCGTCGTTCTTGTTCTTGTTCTTGTTCTGTTTTTGTTCGTTGTTCGTTGTTCGTTATTCGTTTTTGGCTGTCCGTTGCGCGCTGCGCGTTGTGCGTTGTTCGTTGTTTGTTGCGCGTCGCGCGCTGTTCGTTGTTCGGTTTTCGTTGTTCATTGTTGATTGTTGGTTGTTGGTTGTTGGTTCTTTGTTGTGTGTGTGTGTGTTGTTTGTTGCTTGTTGCTTGTTGCCAGTTGTTTGTTGTTTGTTGTTGGTTCTTGGTCCTTGGTTCTTGGTTCTTCGTTCTTGTTCTTATTGGCGTTGGTGATGTTGTTGTGGTTGCGGTCGTCGTCGTCTTCTTTGTGTTGGTGTTGTTGTTGTTGCTGGTGTTGTTGGTGTTGGTGTTGCTGGTGTTGTTGGTGTTGGTGTTGGTGGTGTTGTTGGTGTTGGTGTTGTTGTTGTTGCTGCTGCTGCTGCTGCTGCTGTTGTTGTTGTTGCGGCTCTTGCGGTGTTCTGTGCTTTTGCTGTTGCTGTTGCGGCCGTCGTCGTCGGGCGTTGTTGCGATTTTTCTTGGGTTTGCTCTGGTTCTCGTTTCTGCTGCCCCCGAAACTTGGAGCTGCCGTGGCATGTCTATCTGCGTGCGTCTGTGCCTGTCCATGTGCCTGCCTATTGACCTCATGGTTTGTCTGTTCATCCATGCGTCTATCTGTCAATCTTTTTATCCACCCGTCTACGTGTCTATCCATCTAATTCTGTCCCTCTACGCATCTACTAATTCTATTCACCCATTGCTTTACTTCCTTCTGCGCTTCCTTTCTATGGCTTTCTGTGCGCATTTACTGCCTGCTTTTTGCTCCTCCTTTCTTGGAAGTTATTCTGATTTTCTGCGCTCTGCTACTTCTGTCAGATATCTATTTGTGTCCTTCCTTTATTTCGGGGCCTGCTTACTCTCTCTCTCTCTCTCTCTCTCTCTCTCTCTATTTCTTTCGTTCTTCCTTCTCTCTGTAACTTTCTATCTGTCTGTTCTTCCCTTTTCTTTCATTTCCTGTCCTGTGCTGTCCTGCGCTGCCCTGTCCTGTCCTGTCCTTTCCTTTCCTTTTCCTTTCCTTCCTATCTTCTCTCCTTCTTTTCTCTTTTCCTTTCTTTCTTTCTTGGCAATTTCGCGCCTTTCTTTACCCCTGTTCCTTTCTTTCCTTGTTTCTGTTTTCATTTCTTTCTTTCTGTCCTTCCTTCCTTCCCTCCTACCTTCTGTGTTTTCGTGATTTCTTCCTTTTCTGTCTTTCTTGCTTCAATCCTTCCATTGTGTGTTTGTTCTTTACCTTTCTGCCTTTGCGTACTTCGTTCTTCCTTCCTTTCTGTCTTTGTTTCCCTGATTTCTGTCTGTCTTTCTTCCTTTCTTTCTTTCTTTATCTATTTGTATCCTTCCGTCTTTCTTCGTTCTTTCCTTCTTTCTTTCTTTCTTTCCTTCCGTTCTTTCATTCTGACTTTCTTCCTTCCTGCCTTCTTTGTTTCTTTCTTCGTTCTTTGGCTATGTCCTGCACTTCTCCGCTTTTCTTTCTTTCTTCCTTCCTTTCTTTCTTCCTTTCCTTTCCTGTCCTTTCCTTTCCTTCCTTCCTTTCTCTTCCTCTCGCTATCCATCTGTCCAATCACATCTCGTTCTCCCACCAACCAATCAAACCAATCACCCATATTTCGCAGCTTCTCGGAGTTTCAGGGCGGCGCGACCATCGCTGGTGACCGCCTGCAAACACTTGCAAGCGCTTGCAAACGCTTTCGGAAGTTGCAATCGCCTGGTGAGGGCTTGCAGACGCAGTGACGCGTCTGCCGAACACGCTGACCCCCCAAACTCCTTGGTATAGCGGGAACGCTTCTGCCACGCGTTCAAGAAAGGGCAAGGTAAGGTATTCCATTCCCAAAAAATACACATACCCTGTTCATAAGTGCTTTTATTTCCGACTCTAAATGTCCCTACGCTAAACTAGATTTAGCCAACACAAAACCAAAAAGGAAGCCAAATCAAAACCGGCAAACTTCACCGCCGCCCCCAACTCCAGTCTTATTTGGGGACATCTTTGAATAAGCCGATACTAAGCCAATTCTGAACCAAATCAAAACAAGCTCGAATGCAAAAAGTGGCTCGGAGCTTGGCCGCGGAACTCCCGTGCAGAAATAGGCCCTAGAGGTATGGTGTTTACTAAGAGAAAACGGATAAAACGGAATGACCAACACCCGGGGCGCCGCTGGGTAAAAATATTCCTAAAGGGCACCAACTCGACCAGGGCCGCGGCTGCTGCGGCGCTTCTTCTTCTTCTTCTTCCTCTTCTGCTTTTCCTTCGGAAACGCGAAGGTTTCAATCTTGAACCATCGTTCCAGCAGAAGGCGAAACGCAAGAGTCAGCAATTCAATTAACGGAAGGGATTTCGGGACAGCGCGGCCGGGACTTCCCACGACTAGGCATTCAACTAACTTTCAAACCCTCCAAGTAACTCAGCAGCAAAGCGAACTGGATTGAAACTCAGTCCCCAAGCCACATTTAGAAAGGTTAATGAAGGTATTTGTTTGGGTCCCCTGAGCGGGGCCTTCAGCTGTAAGGAGCACCCTGCTCTTTTGCATGCATACATTACATACATACATACATACATACATACATACATACATACATACATACATACATACATACATACATACATACATACATACATACATACATACATACATACATACATACATTACATACATACATACATACATACATACATACATACATACATACATACATACATACATACATACATACATACATACATACATACATACATACATACATACATACATACATACATACATACATACATACATACATACATTACATACATACATACATACATACATACATACATACATACATACATACATACATTACATACATTACATACATACATACATACATACATACATTACATACATACATTTACATACATACATACATACATACATACATACATACATACATTACATACATACATACATACATACATACATTACATACATACATACATACATACATACATACATACATACATACATACATACATACATACATACATACATACACGCATGCATACATACATACATACATACATACATACATACATACATACATACACATACATACATACATACATACATACATACATACATACATACATACATTACCATACATCCATACATACCATACATACCATTACATACATATTATTATTACATACATACACACGTACATACCTACATACATACCTACATACATACATTACATTACATTACATTACATTACATTACATTACATTACATTACATTACATTACATTACATTCATACATACATACATACATACTTGCATTACATTACATACATACATACATACATTACATACATACATACATTACATACATACATACATACACACATACATACATACATACATACATGCATGCATGCATACATACATACATACATACATTGCATACATTACATACATACATACATACAGTCCATTCCATTCCATTCCATTCCATTCCATTCCATTACAGTACATTACATACATACATACATTACATACATACATACATTACATACATACATACATACATACATACATACATACATACGTACGTACGTACATACATACATACATACATACAATACAACCATACAATACAACCATACATACATACATACATACATACATACATACATACATACATACATTACATTACATTCCATTCCATTCCATTACATTACATTACATTACATACATACATGCATACATACATACAGACGTACATACATACATACGTACGTACGTACGTACATACATTGTGAGTAGAACTACGCTGGGTCCTACTTTTCTACTTTTGTCCTTTTGGTTACCCCATTTGGATCTCGAAGAAGAAGAAGATGCTGAGTTGCTAGCACTCCGCCTGCAGGAGGAGGCGCGGGCGGGCGGGCGGGCGGGGTCAGCCCTCGGTCATCGGCTGGCTTGTCTGCGCCCGCGAGCCACGATCCGTGCCAGAACTCTCTACAAACGTTCCTGAGCACAAAACGGTTATGTACCTCCAGGACAAGTTCATGTCCGTGGCCCTGATGCGGGCACGACATTGGAAGGGAAAGGAAAGCTGACGGTTGAGGTCATGCAGGATTTCCACACCATCTGATGCGGTGAAGGAGGAAGGAAGAAGAGGGCGGTCCCTGAAAACGCCTCAAGCGGTGAGCTCACTCAAGTGCGGGCGAAGCTCGCCACGCTTGAGATGGAGGTAGAAGGGATCCCCGAAGAAGACCTAGCCATGGCGGTGGAAGCGCAAACTGCAGCGCTCACCAAGGCTCTGGAGAGCAAGGGTGCCAACAGCTTGGTTACCAGTGTGAAAACGGATTTGCACTGGCCTACTCTGACAGATAACTCAGGAGGTGTTAGAGATGTGACTGAGTGTTACGAGCACTTTGAGGACAACTGTGGCCTGGCCAATTCTTGCCGCGGGATGAGCTATAGGGAGATGCTGATTAGAGGGTCCTGTTTGCCGGACCGGATGGATCGTGGGCAGGGCCCGTTTGACACTAGGACCACGGTGCTTGGGCTTACCTTCATGCTTTGCTCTCAAGCGTCCGAGGCATATGGGATGCCCCAAAACGCCACGCATCGCCGGAAGAAGCAATGTGTTGGTCACAGTACTCCTCCTTGCACACGAAGTCCACCTGCAGACCATTTTGGCCCCCTTTTCCCCGGCATGTACGGTATCGGGGCGATGAGGGAGGAGGAGGTCTGTCCAACCTCAACTCTACCAACGCCATGTTGATCTCATTTACCCGCAGCATAAGCTTCATGAACTGTTCCTGTTCTTCCACTTGGCAACGCGAGACAACTGAAGCTTAAGCTCCTCCGCTCGTTTATGGCAGCAGATAGTCTGATTCCCAATTGCCTCACGTCGGTGTTGGAAACCGATTGCTGGATGTAGGTCTCAACATTCCCACGTATTGTCCGCTTGCTGCAAGAGTTGGCCTCAACCTCGCCATTGATCGAGGAGGGCATTGGACCTCCACCGGCATCCTTTCCATCCCATTTCCATCCTGTTAGGAGTCCCGATCTGGAAGAACGCGGGCGATGAATCTCCAAAGCACCGCCATTTCCAGCAAAGGCCAACGTGCCGAGACGTGTTGGAACATCAACGGGTCGTGATGAGCGGGAGGACGCGATCTCAGGCGTAGGGCAGCTTCGCGCATTTCGGGTGACTCGGAGCTCCTTTAGCAGCTCAAGAGTCAGCCCAATATGTCCACACGGAACATCAAGCAAGGATGGCGCCTGTTGAGCTTGGTGATGATCAGCTTGAGTGAGATCAAGTCGTTGGGCAACCTCATGAACAGCTCGCGTCCGGTTCATGAGGGTGGGATCGATGGAATTCTTGGGCACCTGAAAGCGGAAACGGATTTGAGCCAACTCTGTAAATCTTCATAACATTATCATTCATAATATCACTGGCTCGCATCTTTGACAGGAAAGTCGATACGGCATGCGGGATGAAGCTCAAATCAGCTTCGCGCCGATGGGCGGCCAGCTGTTTGCGGCCAGTCCTCAATCGCCCAATTGCCTGCTGCTTCAACATGAGATGGGCGAAATCAATCGGGTCATCCACAAGCTCACCAGGGTAGTCCTCAATGGGGTCACGCATAGGCTGCGTATTGAAGGGCAAATCGGAGCCAGATTTGGGCGAAGATGAAGTAGCCCAGAAAATCAAATGATCGGAACGTGGTTCATGAAGAGGTCAAAGAACCCAATCAAACAACGAGCGGTAGCTGTAATTGATGACCAGGTTGAAGGACGTGACAGTTGAGAAAGAAGTGGTAGGAGTGATGGTTGAAATATAAGTTGTAAAAGGACACCTTAACCAAGTTCAGGAACTCCCTGCCCAACCCACCAGGTACCCCCTAAAGCCGGCTGCCCGCGGCCCCGAACCGAAGGAACAGGACAAAAACGTGCACGTGAGTCCAAGGAATGCCTGACAGAAGAAAAAAGCTTGAGCCTTGAGCCATACGGCCAAACGGCACGTGTGCTTGTTGAAAAAAAACAACACGTGAACAAAACACACAATCAATGCACAGGGGGGATACGGAGATGGCTTTAGGAACCTTTCAGCGAAGTGTTTCTTACCCCCAAACATCGCCTTACTCAGCGCAGGCTGGTATGAACTTCAATCAGACGGACCCTTTGGCGGACATCGTGGGGGGCCATGCCCCAGCCAGTTTCGAGGGTGTTCGAAATGGCGCGTTGATTGAAAATGGCGAAGGGTGTGGGTTCCATCGCTGAAACGTGTTGCGGGCAAAGTCAGCTTCCGAACGTGGACTTTGACCTTCAAAAAAAAGAACAAGATCTTGCAAAACCCCGCAAGACCGGGCCAATTCAATCAACACACCTCCGCAATGGAACCTTTCCGCCCCGGTTTTCCCGCGCGAAAAGCTGCCGGTCCTTTGGGCTTGCAGAGGAATCGCCCGACTCCTCGCGCAAGGTAGGGGAAGTGGGCAGCTGTCTGGGCCCCGCACTTCTCGCTCTGAACTACACGAAAGACCCCGGCCCGGGTTAACCCAGACTAGGACCTCGCTCAAGTTTGAAGAATAGCGAGCGTGGGGTTCCCCAAGTTGGGGAACCTCTTTGCGCACAGTGCGTGGTGGGATGTCACGAGTATCCACAAGAGTCCAAGCAGCAGCCTTTCGCACGCGAAGGCACGCGTAGCCCATTTTGCCAGTTTTGCAGGTTTCAGGGCAGGCGGGAGCATCCAAAAGCCACATCTTCCGTTGAGGCGAGTCACGCCAAGCCAACATTTACCCCGCGAAAACGCGCGAGCAAGGCAACTGGTTTGTCGAATTTTTACACGCTTTGACAGAAAGATCACGGCCCAGTAACTGAAGAAGCCCTATAGCGGTTTCCCTGAATATCGTGGCAAGTTATCGCATTGGGCACTTGCTGGCATTAACCCCGGATGGCACACTGATGCCCTGCAAAAACATCCAGCAAGTAGGTGTGGTGTTGGAACCCTGTCTGATTCTCCCTTCTTGACCAGCTGATTTGGATTTGGGTCCAAATTGTGCGAAGCACGCAGTTTTAAGGTGCGTCCTTTACCTCCATGCCAGATGTATCTTTCGGAATTGGTACGCTTTTTGGGGGGTTGTTTGAAGTTTGAAAGGGGTGCCAGAAGCGCATGTCGGTTTATCGTTTGGAGCCCTATCATGTGGGGATAGCAGGCAAGGGGTTTTTTGAAGAATTGACAGCTCACCAATGCTGCAACGATTGCCCACAGTCTCCTTTGAATCAAAGTGGGCAATACTTCAGTTCGGGGGTTCCACCTCATTCATGGCCACACACATCCGACCCGCAGAATCGCCGTCTTGGTTTAAAAAGAAGGACGAAACGACAAAAGCAAAGGACTTGCTGGGACGGACCTTCAAGGTGTTTTCTTGAAGCGGGTTTCCCTGGGCGCCCGACCACCACCCCGGGCGGCACCGGGCTAGGGGACCGCGAGGCCCGGCGCACCGGGCCGAGAGCCTCCACGGCTCCCGAGAGCCTCCGGCTGTCAAATCGAAGGGGCGTGCTTGCGGCAAAATCTCCAAACAAGAAAAGCGACCAATCCCAAGAGGGCCCGATGAGGTTCCCTGTTTGGGTGTCCCTCTTTGGATCGTCAGATTTGCAAAGTCCCAAAACATTCAAGGTCGCTTTCATGTTTGGCACACGAAACTGTTGCGTGGCTGGGACTGGTTCAAATCCACCTGGGTGTTGGGGTTGTTGGGCGGTTGTTTTTTTTTTGGAGGGGTTTGCCATGGAAAAGAAGAGAAAGCCCCTTGAGCAAATCAAGGACAAGTTCAGGCGTGGGATAGGTGAGGCTATAGCCTCTTCAAGGGCCTCTAGCTGTTGGCGGGAAGCACCCAGCTAGGGATGCACCAGGCTTTTGGTCGTGTTGGCCCCCCTTCTAGGGAAACCATACTCTAAATGAACTCTGCAACCTCCTCGGCCACCACCGGTTCGCCGTTTTGGTTCTTGCCCCTCGGTGTGTTTCTTTGCTTGGCTGGCTGAAAAAGGAAGCTTGTCAGGAAACTAAAACCCTTCACCCCCAAAACCCTAAGCCCATTCAGCCCAAGGACTATTTCACCCTTGACCTTCAGCCAAACACTGGCTGATGAAGGCTTGGCCTCAGACTTTGAGCGGAAAGCTTCTAGATTTGGAGTTCTCCTTTCCGCCTGGCACCGATCTGCTCCGCGCAAGGGTCACTGATCTGGTCCCTCAGTTGCGGGTCAGGCACGGCGTCCGGATGTTTTCACACTTTGCCACAAGCCAAAATGAAACCTTGCGCCGAAGAAGACGCGTCCGAAGTGTGCAAAGCCAAAATGAAACCTTGCGCCGAAGAAGACGCGTCCGAAGTGTGCAAAGTGGCCCCAGGTGGTTGACAGGAGGCCCTACGCGCGGAGATGGATTGAAATACGTTGAAACCCAATGAGGAAGTGGATCTTAGATGGGATCCAGCATTGAGAGATCACGCGCTGCGCGAAGCTGCGTACAGAAGAGAGGAGGCGGGAACCGGTCGGGGGCGGGCCTGCCAACAAGACGAAGATGAACTGGATTTGGTCGGAGAAGTGGAGCGAGCTTGCTGCGGGATTCAACAAGAAACAGCAACACGACCAACAACGGCTCAATCAACAGCAGTAGCAGCAACAACAACAACCACCACCACCACCACAACCACAACCACAACCACAACCACAACCACAACAACAACAACAACAACAACAACAACAACAACAACAACAACAACAACAACAACAACAACAACAACAAAGGTCACGGCGGCGCAGCTGCCCCGTGGTGTTTTTTTGGCCGGATAATCTGACGCTGACCCCTGCCACGGCAGGGCCCAGAGATCGCGCCAAAGCATATGTGCGCAGCGCTATCCCCAGCTCACCCCACCCCACCCAACCACCCCACCGACATGCCCTGGTCATGATGATCACGTACGTTGCGATCCCCGCCCAGCAATGGCGCTGCAGTCGACCACACACGCTGCTATCCCCACCCCACCCAACACCACCCCAACCCACCTCACCCCCCCCCCACCCGACATCATGATCATGCCGCTGACGCAGTCGACCGTGCGTTATTTTGGACGAAATGCCCAACGTCATGATGATGATGGTCATAGTGATGGGATGATGATGATGGTGATGATGATGGTGATGATGATGGTGATGATGATGATTATGGTGGCGATGATGATGATGATGATGATGATGATGATGAGGATGATGGTCATGATGATGCGATCATTTCAAGATTCGATGGGGATGGTAATGCTCAAAAACCAAAAACCCAAAAAAGAAGCCAATTCTGCATGAAAGTATCATAAACTGCGGGAAGAAAAACGTTGCAACGCCCAAAAGCGCAAAACACACCTTGGGCCGTTGCGCCACTAACAACAACAATAACAAACAAACAACACCAACAAACAACACCAACAAACAACACCAACAAACAACACCAACAAACAAAATCAACAAAAAACACCAACAACCAACACCACCAAACAACACCAACAAACAACAACAACAACAAACAACACCAACAAACAACGCCAACAAACAACACCAACAAACAACACCCACAAACACCACACACAAACCACACCCACAAACAACACCAACAAACGACACCACAAAGCGCCACCAACAAGCAACACCAACAAACAACACCAACAAACAACAGCAACAAACAACAGCAACAAACAACACGAAAAAACAACACGAAAAAACAACACCAACAAGCCGCACCAACAAAAAAACACAAACAAACAGCATCAACAAACAACACCAACCACCAACACCAACCACCAACACCAACCACCACCACCAACCACCAACACCAACACCACCACCAAGACATCCACCAGCACCACCACCACCCCCAACACCAACACCTCCACCAACACCAACACCAACACCAACACCACCACCGACATCGACAACAACACCGGCACCACCACCGACACCGACACCCACACCGACACCAACAAGCACCCACACCAACACCACCACCCACACCAACACCAACACCAACACCGCCACCACCCGCAGCAACAGCAGCGACAGCGACAGCGACAGCGAAAGCGACAGCAACGGCAACGGCAACAGCAACAGCAACAGCAACAGCAACAGCAGCAGCAACAGCAGCAGAAACAGTCAGAACAAGAACAAGAACAAGAACAAAAACAAAAACAAAAACAAAAACAGGAACAGGAACAGGAACAGGAACAGGAACAGGAACAAGAACAAGAACAAGAACAAGAACAAGAACAAGAACAAGAACAAGAACAAGAACAAGAACAAGAACAAGAACAAGAACAAGAACAAGAAAAAGAACAAGAACAAGAACAAGAACAAGAACAAGAACAAGAACAAGAACAAGAACAAGAACAAGAACAAGAACAAGAACAAGAACAAGAACAAGAACAAGAACAAGAACAAGAACAAGAACAAGAACAAGAACAAGAACAAGAACAAGAACAAGAACAAGAACAAGAACAAGAACAAGAACAAGAACAAGAACAAGAACAAGAACAAGAACAAGAACAACAACAACAACAACAACAACCACAACCACAACCACAACCACAACAACAACCACAACCACAACCACAACCACAACGACAACGACAACGACAACGACGAGGACGACGAGGACGACAACAACAACAACAACAACAACAACAACAACAACAACAACAACAACAACAACAACAACAACAACAACAACAACAACAACAACAACAACAACAACAACAACAACAACAACAGCAACAGCAACAGCAACAGCAACAGCAACAGCAACAGCAACAGCAACAGCAACAGCAACAGCAACACGACCACCGACACCGCCAGCACCACCAGCACCAACACCACCACCACCACGACCCCCACCAGCACCACCACCAACACCACCACCAACACCACCACCACCACCAACACCACCAACACCACCACCCACACCAACACCAAGGCCAGAGCCAACTCCAACACCACCAACAACACCACCACGAACACCAACACCAACACCAAAGCCAGAGCCAAGACCAACACCACCAACACCACCACCACCAACACCACCACCAAAACCACCACCACCACCACCACCAACACCAACACCAAGACCAACACTACCACCACCAACACCACCAACCACCACCGACACCACCACCAACACCACCACCACCAACGCCACCACCAACACCAACACCGACACCGACACCGACACCGACACCGACACCGACACCGACACCGACACCACACCAGCACCAACACCAACACCACCACCACCACCAACACCAGTTGGTGGTGGTGGTGGTGGTGGTGGTGGTGGTGGTGGTGGTGTTGGTGGTGGTGTTGGCGGTGTTGGTGGTGATGGTGTGCTGGTGTTGGTAGTGTTAAAGTCAATAAGGAGGCCGAGGTCCCAGCAAGAATGTGGCCAGCCAACCTACCAACCAACCAAGCTGAAGCCTTGACCCCACCGTGGCTAAGCAAAGGCAAAAAACGCTCGGCCGTGATGCTGGCCACGATTAAGTCCATGCACTACCTGATTCCCGACCACCAACACGCCTCCCTGTCACCCGAATTTCCTGGCGCGCCAAAAACCACTGGTCCCTTTAAAACCCTCTCCTCTGCTTCCACAAGAACAGGCTGGCAACTCCCTTGTAGGACAACCACTTGGCTCCCCTGCCACAGTTCCGGCGGCGTGTGAACCCTCGCCCGGTCCATGTGCTGCCGGTGGCTTGGGCAAAAGACGGCAAGCAAACGCGGCTTCCGGTAGGTAAAGAGAAAAAAACGATAAAGAAAAAAGAATGAAAAAGAGAAGAAAGAAAAAAACAAAGACAGAGAGAAAGAGAAAGAAGAAGAAAGAGAGAAAGAAAAAAAAGAAACAAATTAAGGAAAGGGAGAGGGAGAGGGAAAAAGCAGGAGAGACGTGGAGAGGGAGAGAGAGGGAGAGAGACGAAGAGAGAGGGAGAGAGAGGGAGAGAGAGGGAGAGAGAGGGAGAGAGAGGGAGAGAGAGGGAGAGAGAGGGAGAGAGAGGGAGAGAGGGAGAGAGAGGGAGAGAGAGGAAGAGAGGGTGAGAGAGGGAGAGAGAGGAAGAGAGACGAAGAGAGAGGGAGAGACGGAGAGAGACACGGAGAGAGAGAGATGGAGAGAGAAACGGAGAGAGAGACGGAGAGAGACACGGAGAGAGAGATGGAGAGAGAGACGGAGAGGGAGAGAGAGAGAGTGCTGCCTGAAACCTGGTCGCCTTACAGCTATCCCGCCTCACCAAAAAAGCCGCGCGCGCCGCACGCACGGCGCGCTTACATTGAATCGCTGCAGCCAGCCGCGCCGCTTCTCCCCACGCAGCGTTCATTCCTGCCTGCTGGGCCCAGCGCTTACGAGCAAGCTGGTTGCGAAGCTTTGGCTGCTGACCTGTTGACGCGCCGTGCCCTCGGAAAGCCAAAAGCCTTCAGTGACCCTGTCTCACTGTACCCCTAGTTGGTGGCTTGAGTTGGCCTGGAGTAGAACTTTTGATTCTTGATGAAAGCAAATGGGAAGACCCTGCGGCTTTTAAAATGAACATGTTAGAGGCCCTTTCTGCAGCTTGAGTACATAATCAAGGCAAAACCCAACCAAATGTATTGCCCAAATCTAGCCGTCGACGAAGCAACCAGCAAGTACCCTTCCTGCAACAATAATGGAAGCTGACACGAGGATTTTGCAAGACTACTTTCCTGTTGGGGAAGCCCTTATCCACTTCCATGATTGTTGGAAAGAGGGTGGTTCCCAAAAGAACTCGGATGTGCCGTTTTGACAATAGGCGCTGACGATCGGCTGATAGGCAGCCTTCGATATGGGGCCCCAGATCCCACACCGCTTGCCTCAAAGCTAAGTCCTAAACTCCTTTGAGTAGACGTTGCTTGCATCGGTGACACAGGCTGGCGTCCACCCGCCCCCTTCTCGCAAATCCTGCCCAAACTGTCCAGCTGCCATGGGATGAAATTTGGCTGAGCCGCTGCGCCCGGATCGGTTGCGCCATGCTGCGGACAAGCAACACACGATTCTGAGATCTGACGACCTTCTTACAGGCAGTCAGGTTGGAAATTTGACACCACTGCCTCTCTTCGAATAACCAAAGGCCAACACCGTCAAACAGGCAATGTCGCACATTTAAGCATGATCCAGCGCTCTTCTACCCTGCAGCAGAGCAGTTTTGACTTTGACCTTGTGGCTTTGCCTAAGATGTCGACGGTCAAGCTGAAAGATTGCTTTGGCTTTGTCCCTTCCAGGACTCGTGATTTGTCTTACAAGAAAACGGGCTGTAGCCCAACTAATCAAAGGCCACTTCCTCGTTTCACGTCTCTTCCAGGAAACGTCGACACATTGCATGTCTAGCTGTGACCTTGACATCGCCCGTGACCAAAGACTTGCTGTTGGTCAGAATCATGGAAGCGGTCACACCCAATTGGCAGCCAGGCGCAAAAGCTTGTACTGCTTTAGCAGCCAGGCGCAACAGCTTGTACTGCTTTAGCCCGTCGGTCTGCAGCTGTGCACGACAAGCCCAAACGGTTGGTAGAGGTGAGCTTTGACGCGGACTCACATGGGTTAATCGTGATCCAGCGTTGACAAACAAGTCTGAACTATCCGATCTTCTGCCCTGCAGCGAGAAGTGTTGACTTTGACCTGATGGCTTTGCCTACAATGGTGACTGTCAAGCTGAAAGATTGCTTTGGTTTTGTCCCTTCCAGGACTCGTGATTGTCTTACGAGAAAACAGGCTGTAGCCCACTTCCTCGTTTCACGTCTCTTCCGGGAAACGTCGACACATTGCATGTCTGGCTGGGACCTTGACATCACCCGTGACCAAAGACTTGCCGTTGGTCAGAATCATGGAAGCGGTCACACCCAATTGGCAGCCAGGCGCAACAGCTTGCACTGCTTTAGCCCGTCGGTCTGCAGCTGTGCACGACAAGCCCAAACGGTTGGTAGAGGTAAGCTTTGACATGGGTTAAGCGTGATCCAGCGTTGACAAACAAGTCTGAACTATCCGACTATCCGATCTTCTGCCCTGCAGCGAGCAGTGTTGACTTTGACCTGATGGCGTTGCCTACAATGGTGACTGTCAAGCTGAAAGATTGCTTTGGTTTTGTCCCTTCCAGGACTCATGATTGTCTTGCAAGAAAACGGGTTGTAGCCCAACTAAGCAAAGGCCACTTCCTAGTTTCACGCCTCTTCCGGGAACGTCGCACATTTGGACTTTGGGCCTGGATTCAACAAGTTGCCGCAACTTGCATTGCACATTCTTTGCAGTCCTTTCTAAGCCAGTGGACGCTACTCGGGCCTTGTGCGGATTGTGGTGGGTCGAGCAGTTGTTTCTTGTTTGCTTTGGCTCTGCAATCGACTTCAATCAGCGTCGCATCTGCCAAAGCCGAAGGCAACGTGGGTCGGTTGCTGCATAATGTTTGCTTGGGTGCTCGAACAGGCTTGGACCAGCGTCGCGCCAAAGCCAAGGGCGACGCCAATGACAGTTCTAGCTGTTTTTGGCGTTCGGGTTCACGAAATTTGCTCTAAGCACTGTCGCAGGTGTTGCGGCTACAAGTCTTGAATTGATTGAAATACCCTGCCAACAAGCTTGACAGGCGATTGGGGCATCACGAAATCATACTGTCAACGGGCTTACCCCCAAACAAAATGCACCCGTGTCTGGGAAAATGGGAAAAAAAGGCGGAGCTGACCTCCTGTCGCATCTAGCATGCTCCTGCCCACCTAATATCACGGTCGACGCACCATGGACTGGGGCCTTATAAGCTACCCACAGCGCTGCAGCCAGCCGTTGTTCGCCGTGATTGCTGCTCAGCAGATGCTCAGGTCACAGCCCTCGGCATGCATATTGCGCAGCCCAGCGTTGACAGAAAGTCTTCAAAATCCGACCATCTGCGAGTTCGGCGCAGTGGCCCGAATCACACACCTTGCACAAAGAACACCTTGCCCCTCAGCGAGGAGGTTGACTTTTGGGCGCTCGGCAGGCCCGATATTTCAGACCGCGGAGGCTCGCATAGCGCAAGAGGGCCCAAGAAGGCTGGAGCTCTGAAAGGCAAAGCCTCCGGAAAAAGTCGCAAGGAAGGCTTCAGCTGAAGATTAAAAGACAGTTCCACGCGTACCCCGCATGACGGCCTGCGCCAGCTGCGCGTCGGCACAAAATCTCAATGCCAGCCTGCATCGTTGGTGATTTGGATTGAAAGTGCCTACGGAAGGTCTCTGTTAGACAGGTGCTCAGCCTCATTTGAGCAAATGAAGCATCGCAGAGCTTTGGACGCGGTCAGTCCCCTTGTAAGACAGCGATTACTCTCTCATTTCGCCTATGTGGAAGGGAAAAACGACAACGCCACACCAAGCCCTCCGCGACCCAGGGCCGAGTTCAAGGCCCAACCGAATCACACACCTTGACAAAATGACTTTCATACCAAGCCCTGCAAACCTGGACATCACTGCCCGGCTGCAAATCAACAGGGGCCTACCGGTGCCTTGTGGCTTTGCTTGACTGTTTTGCTTTTGTCCCTTCCCGGACCATGGATTGTCTTACAAGAAGCCGGATTGTAACCCGACTAATCCAAGGCCACTTCCCTGTTCCACGTCTCTTCCGGGAACGTCGACACTTTGCAGCTCAAGCTGGGACCTTGACATCACTGCCCCTCTGCGAGATAGCCAAGACCTGCCATTTGGTCAGCATCATGGGACTGGGCACACCCGGACAACTGGATGATTCATGAAAGAACTACCATGATGGAAGGGCCCTTCAATATCAACATGCCGTCAACTTGCCAGCTGCCGCGGCTGGAAAGAAACTGCACCAATTAAAAGGAAACACAGTGGGTTCCCATAGAGGCTGGCGCAAAGTCCAGTCTGGCGCCACCTGAACGATCCATCAAGGTTCCACAAAACAAGCTTCGGCGTTGAACCAGAAGGTCACCAAGAGAGGGTATTGCAAGGTCCCAGCTCACAACCTCAGGTGGAATGCTTCACCTGCCAAGCTTGCCCGACTGCGTACAGCCTCTTGGGCTTCCCATGCAGCTCCAAGCACGGTTCCGGGCTATACTTATTACACCACAGTAAATAGGCGCCTTTGGACTTTGGGCCTGGATTCAACAAGTTGCCGCAACTTGCATTGCACATTCTTTGCAGTCCTTTCTAAGCCAGTGGAAGCTACTCGGGCCTTGTGCGGATTGTGGTGGGTCGAGCTGTTGTTTCTTGTTTGCTTTGGCTCTGCAATCGACTTCAATCAGCGTCGCATCTGCCAAAGCCGAAAGCAAAGTGGGTCTGCTGCTGCTTTTCATTTGCTTTCGTTCTTGCACAGACTTGGAACGGCATCGCGCAAAAGCCAAGGGCGACGGCATGACAGTTTTAGCTGCTTTTGGCACGTACCCTCTTGGTGGCCCTCCATTCTGGTTCACGAAATTTGCTCTAAGCACTGTGGCAGGTGTTGCGGCTACACGTCTTGAATTGATTGAAATACCTTGCCAACAAGCTTGACAGGCGATTGGGGCATCACGAAACCTTACTGTCAACAGCCGTACGCAAAAACAAAATGCACCGCATCAGGGCAAATGGGAAATAGGGCGGAGATGACCTCCCGTCACATCCAGCATGGGTGAGCTCCTGCCCACCTGATATCACGGTCGACGGGCCATGGACTGGGGCTTTACAAGCTACCCACAGTACTGCAGCCAGCCGTTGTTCGCCGTGATTGCTGCTTACCAAATGCTCAGGTCACAGCTGTGCTGACTCCGGCACGCAAACTGCGCGGCCCAACGTTGACAGAAAGTCTTCAAAATCCGACCATCTGCAAGTTCGGCGCAGTGGCCCGAATCACACACCTTGCACAAAGAACACCTTGCCCCTCAGCGAGGAGGTTGACTTTGGGCCCTCGGCAGGCCTGATATTTCAGACCGCGGAGGCTCGCATAGCGCAAGAGGGCCCAAGAAGGCTGGAGCTCTGAAAGGCAAAGCCTCCGGAAAAAGTCGCAAGGAAGGCTTCAACTGAAGATTAAAAGACAGTTCCACGCGTACCACGCATGACGGCCTGCGCCAGCTGCGCGTCGGCACAAAATCTCAATGCCAGCCTGCATCGTTGGTGATTTGGATTGAAAGTGCCTACGGAAGGTCTCTGTTACACAGGTGCTCAGCCTCATTTGAGCAAATGAAGCATCGCAGAGCTTTGGACGCGGTCAGTCCCCTTGTAAGACAGCGATTACTCTCTCATTTCGCCTATTTGGAAGGGAAACACGACAACGCCACACCCAACCGAATCACACACCTTGAGAAAATGACTTTCATACCAAGCCCAGCAAACCTGGACATCCGGTACTCGGCATCATGACAAAGGTCAAAGCCCATTTGCAGCCAGGCGCAAAAAAGCTTGCAGTCTTAAGCTGTGCGGGGCAAGACCAAACGGTTGGTAGAGATGAACTTTGACGCTGACTCACATGGGTTAAGCTTTGCCTAAAATGGCAACTGTCAAGCTGAAAGATTGCTTTGGTTTTGTCCCTTCCAGGACTTGCGATTGTTGCAGCCCAACTAATCAAAGGCCACTTCCCTGTTCCATGTCTCTTCCGGGAACGTCGACACTTTGCAGCTCAAGCTGGGACCTTGACATCACTGCCCCTCTGCGAGATAGCCAAGACCTGCCATTTGGTCAGCATCATGGGACTGGGCACACCCGGCAAACTGCATGATTCATGAAAGAACTACCATGGTGGAAGGGCCCTTCAGTATCATCATGCCGTCAACTTGCCAGCTGCCGTGGCTGGAAAGAAACTTCACCAATTACGAGGAAACACAGTGGGTTCCCAGGGGCCAGCGCAAAGTCCAGTCGGGCGCCACCTGAACGATCCATCAAGGTTCCGCAAAACAAGCTTCGGCTTTGAACCAGAAGGTCACCAAGAGAGGGTATTGCAAGGTCCCAGCTCACAACCAGGTGGAATGCTTCACCTGCCAAGCTTGCCCGACTGCGTTGCAGCGTCTTGGGCTTCCCATGCGGCTCCAAGCACGGTTCCGGGCTAAACTTGATACACCGCAGGAAATAGGCTGCCTTTGGACTTTGGGCCTGGATTCAACAAGTTGCCGCAACCTGCATTGCACATTCTTTGAAGTCCTTTCTAAGCCAGTGGAAGCTACTCGGGCCTTGTGCGGATTGTGGTGGGTCGAGCTGTTGTTTCTGTTTGCTTTGGCTCTGAAATCGACTTCAATCAGCGTCGCATCTGCCAAAGCCGAAGGCAAAGTGGGTCTGCTGCTGCTTTTCGTTTGCTTTGGTTCTTGAACAGACTTGGAACGGCATCGCGCAAAAGCCAAGGGCGACGGCATGACAGTTTTAGCTGCTTTTGGCACGTACCCTCTTGGTGGCCCTCCATTCTGGTTCACGAAATTTGCTCTAAGCACTGTGGCAGGTGTTGCGGCTACACGTCTTGAATTGATTGAAATACCTTGCCAACAAGCTTGACAGGCGATTGGGGCATCACGAAACCTTACTGTCAACGGCCTTACCCCAAAACAACATGCACCGCATCAAGGCAAATGGGAAATAGGGCGGAGCTGACATCCCGTCACATCCAGCATGGGTGAGCTCCTGCCCACCTGATATCACGGCCGACGGGCCATGGACCGAAAGTGCTGCAGCCAGCCGTTGTTCGCCGTGATTGCTGCGCAGCAAATGCTCAGGTCACAGCTGTGCTGACTCCGGCACGCAAACTGCGCGGCCCAGCGTTGACAGAAAGTCTTCAAAATCCGACAGTCTGCGAGTTCGGCGCAGTGGCCCGAATCACACACCTTGCACAAAGAACACCTTGCCCCTCAGCGAGGAGGTTGACTTTGGGCCCTCGGCAGGCCTGATATTTCAGACCGCGGAGGCTCGCATAGCGCAAGAGGGCCCAAGAAGGCTGGAGCTCTGAAAGGCAAAGCCTCCGGAAAAAGTCGCAAGGAAGGCTTCAGCTGAAGATTAAAAGACAGTTCCACGCGTACCACGCATGACGGCCTGCCGCAGCTGCGCGTCGGCACAAATTCTCAATGCCAGCCTGCATCGTTGGCGATTTGGATTGGGGGTGCCTACAGAAGGTCTCTGTTACACAGGTGCTCAGCCTCATTTGAGCAAATGAAGCATCGCAGCGCTTTGGACGCGGTCAGTCCCCTTGTAAGACAGCGATTACTCTCTCATTTCGCCTATTTGGAAGGGAAACACGACAACGCCACACCCAACCGAATCACACACCTTGAGAAAATGACTTTCATACCAAGCCCTGCAAACCTGGACATCAATGGCCCGCCGCAAATCACCAAAGGCCGACCGGTACTCAGCATCATGGGAGCGGTCAAGGCCCATTTGCAGCCAGGCGCAAAGGCTTGTACTGCTTTAGCTGTGCAGAACAAGCCCAAACGATTGGTAGAGGTGAGCTTTGACGCGGACTCACATGGGTTAAGCATGATCCAGCGCTGACAAACAACACTGCACTATCCGATCTTCTGCCCTGCAGCAAGCAGCTTTGACTTTGACCTTGTGGCTTTGCTAATATGTCGACTGTCAAGCTGAAAGATTGGATTGCCCTTCCAGGACTCGTAACCCAACTAATCAGTGGCCACTTTTCAGGTCTCTTCCTGAGACGTCGCACGTTGCAGGTCAAGCTGGGACTGCCCTCTGCGAATAACCCAAGACCTCCCATTGGTCAGCATCATGCGAGCTCAGAAGAGATGTTCATCCCAGTGCGCGACTGTCTGTTGGGATTGGACGTGCGCCCAGAGGTTGGATATGTTGAGCTCGCCCAGGAAGGCTGCCCGCCCCTGATGGCAATGCCTTTGCGACCACGAGAGTCTCGCACACACTGTCTGCAAACTTTCGCGCAGGTAGCTTTTCGGCAGCCATTCATTGCGCCCTTGGACTGGGTAGACGCAAGCCAAGGAACTGCCGTCAACTTGCCAGCTGCTGTGGCTGGAAACAAAAAGCAAGAGGAAACACGGTGGGTTCCCATAGAGGCCAGCGCAAAGTCCAGTATGGCACCACCTGAAGCCACCCAAAAAGGGTATTGCAAGGTCCCAGCTCACAACCTCAGGTGGAATGCTTCACCTGCCAAGCTTGCCCGATTGCGTTGCAGCCTCTTGGGCTTCCCATGCGGCTCCAAGCACGGTTCCCGGCTATACTTGATACACCGCAGGAAATAGGCTATCTTTGGACTTTGGGCCTGAATTCAACAAGTTGCCGCAACTTGCATTGCACATTCTTTGCAGTCCTTTCTCAGCGAGTGGGAGCTACTTTGGCCTTTTGCGGATTGTGGTGGGTCGGCTGTTGTTTCTTGTTTGCTTTCGCTCTGAAATCGACTTCAATCAGCGTCGCATCTGCCAAAGTGGGCCGGCTGCTGCGTTTCATTCGCTTTGGTCCTTGAGCAGACTTGGACCGGCGTCGCGCCAAAGCCAAGGGCGACGGCAAAGTGACAGTTCTAGCTGTTTTTGGCGTTCGCGCTCACGAAATTTGCTCTAAGCACTGTCACAGTTGTTGTTGCGGCTACAAGTCTTTGATTGATTGAAATACCTCGCCAACAAGCTTGACAGGCGTTTGAGGCATCACGAAATCATACTGTCAATGGCCTTACCCCGAGACAAAATGCACCGTATCTGGGAAAATGGGAAAAAAAGGCGGAGCTGATCTCGCGTCACATCTAGCATGGATGAGCTCCTGCCCACCTGATATCACGGACGACGTGCCATGGACTGGGGCCTTATAAGCTACCCACAGCGCTGCAGCCGGCCGTTGTTCGCCGTGATTGCTGCTCAGCAAATGCTCAGGTCACAGCTGTGCTGACCTCGGCATGCATATTGCGCAGCCCAGCGTTGACAGAAAGTCTTCAAAATCCGACTGTCTGCGAGTTTGGCGGAGTGGCCCGAATCACACACCTTGCACAAAGAACACCTTGCCCCTCAGCGAGGAGGTTGACTTTGGGCCCTCGGCAGGCCCGATATTTCAGACTGCGGAGGCTCCCATAGCGCAAGAGGGCCCAAGAAGGCTGGAGCTCTGAAATGTAAAGCCTCCTGAAAAGTCGCAGGGAGGGCTCCAGCTGAAGGTTGAAAGACAATTCCACGCGTACCATGCATGACGGCCTGCGCCAGCTGCGCGTCGGCACAAATTCTCAATGCCAGCCTGCATCGTTGGTGATTTGGATTGAGGGTGCCTACGGAAGGTCTCTGTTACACAGGTGCTCAGCCTCATTTGAGCAAATGAAGCATCGCAGAGCTTTGGACGCGGTCAGTCCCCCTGTAAGACAGCGATTACTCTCTCAATTCGCCTATTTGGAAGGAAATCACGACAACGCCACACCTAGCCCTCCGCGACCCAGGGCCGAGTTCAAGGCCCAACCGAATCACACACCTTGAGAAAATGACTTTCATACGAAGCCCTGCAAACCTGGACGTCACTGCCCCACTGCAAATCACCAGGGGCCTACCGGTAGCTTGTGGCTTTGCCTGACATGTCCACTGTCCAGCTGAAAGCTTGTTTTGGTTTTGTCCCTTCCCGGACCATGGATAGTCTTACAAGAAGTCGGGTTGTAACCCGACTAATCAAAGGCCACTTCCTCTTTTAAGGTCTCTTCCGGGAGACGGCATCCCAGTGCGCGACTGTCTGTTGGGATTGGACTCGCGCCCAGAGGTTAAATACAATGTTGAGCTCGCCCAAGAAGGCTACCGGCCCCCAATGCGTATGCGACTCCCCTGGCCACGACTGGCTTTTCGGCAGCCATTCGTTGCGCCCTTGGACTGGGTAGACGCAAGCCAGGTGATTCATGAAGGAACTGCCGTCAACTTGCCAGCTGCTGTGGCTGGAAACAAAAAACAAGAGGAAACACGGTGGGTTCCCATAGAGGCCAGCGCAACGTCCAGTATGGCACCACCTGAAGGCCACCCAAAAAGGGTATTGCAAGGTCACAGCTCACAACCTCAGGTGGAACGCTTCACCTGCCAAGCTTGCTGGACTGCGTTGCAAACCTCTTGGGCTTCCCATGCGTCTCCAAGCACGGTTCGCGCATGTGGCCCGAATCACACACACCTTGCACAAAGAACACCTTGCCCCTCAGCGAGGAGGTTGACTTGCGCCATCGGCAGGCCCGATATTTCAGACTGCGGAGGCTCCCATAGCGCAAGAGGGCCCAAGAAGGCTGGAGCTCTGAAATGTAAAGCCTCCTGAAAAGTCGCAGGGCTCCAGCTGAAGGTTGAAAGACAATTCCACGGGTACCATGCATGACGGCCTGCGCCAGCTGCGCGTCGGCACAAAATCTCAATGCCAGCCTGCATCGTTGGTGATTTGGATTGAAAGTGCCTACGGAAGGTCTCTGTTACACAGGTGCTCAGCCTCATTTGAGCAAATGAAGCATCGCAGCGCTTTGGACGCGGTCAGTCCCCCTGTAAGACAGCGATTACTCTCTCAATTCGCCTATTTGGAAGGAAATCACGACAACGCCACACCTAGCCCTCCGCGACCCAGGGCCGAGTTCAAGGCCCAACCGAATCACACACCTTGAGAAAATGACTTTCCTACGAAGCACTGCAAACCTGGACGTCACTGCCCCACTGCAAATCACCAGGGGCCTACCGGTAGCTTGTGGCTTTGCCTGACATGTTCACTGTCCAGCTGAAAGCTTGTTTTGGTTTTGTCCCTTCCCGGACCATGGATAGTCTTACAAGAAGTCGGGTTGTAACCCGACTAATCAAAGGCCACTTCCTCTTTTAAGGTCTCTTCCGGGAGACGGCATCCCAGTGCGCGACTGTCTGTTGGGATTGGACCGCGCCAGAGGTTAAATACAATGTTGAGACTCGCGCCCAGAGGTTAAATACAATGTTGAGCTCGCCCAAAAACCGGCCCCCAATGCGTATGCGACTCCCCTGGCCACGACTGGCTTTTCGGCAGCCATTCGTTGCGCCCTTGGACTGGGTAGACGCAAGCCAGGTGATTCATGAAGGAACTGCCGTCAACTTGCCAGCTGCTGTGGCTGGAAACAAAAAACAAGAGGAAACACGGTGGGTTCCCATAGAGGCCAGCGCAAAGTCCAGTATGGCACCACCTGAAGGCCCCCCAAAAAGGGTATTGCAAGGTCACAGCTCACAACCTCAGGTGGAACGCTTCACCTGCCAAGCTTGCTGGACTGCGTTGCAAACCTCTTGGGCTTCCCATGCGTCTCCAAGCACGGTTCGCGCATGTGGCCCGAATCACACACACCTTGCACAAAGAACACCTTGCCCCTCAGCGAGGAGGTTGACTTGCGCCATCGGCAGGCCCGATATTTCAGACTGCGGAGGCTCCCATAGCGCAAGAGGGCCCAAGAAGGCTGGAGCTCTGAAATGTAAAGCCTCCTGAAAAGTCGCAGGGCTCCAGCTGAAGGTTGAAAGACAATTCCACGGGTACCATGCATGACGGCCTGCGCCAGCTGCGCGTCGGCACAAAATCTCAATGCCAGCCTGCATCGTTAATGATTTAAATTAAAGTGCCTATGGAAGGTCTCTGTTAGACAGGTGCTCAGCCCCATTTGAGCAAATGAAGCATCGCAGCGCTTTGGACGCGGTCAGTCCCCCTGTAAGACAGCCACTACTCTCATTTCGCCTATTTGGAAGGGAATCACGACAACGCTACACCAAGCCCTCCGCGACCAAGGGCCGAGTTCAAGGCCCAACCGAATTAAGCCTCGGCCTACCGGTACTCAGCATCATGGGAGCGGTCAAAGCCCATTTGCAGCCAGGCGCAGAAGCTTGTACTGCTTTAGCCCGTCTGTCTGAAGCTGTGCAGGACAAGCCCAAACAATTCATAGAGGTGAGCTTTGACGCGGACTCACATGAGTTAAGCATGATCCAGCGTTGACAAACAAGTCTGCACTATCCGATCTTCTGCCCTGCAGCGAGCAGCTTTGACTTTGGCCTTGTGGCTTTGCCGAAGATGTCGACGGTCAAGCTGAAAGATTGCTTTGTTTTTGTCCCTTCCAGGACTCGTTGTAGCCCAACTGACCAAAGGCGACTTCCTCGTTTCACGTTTCCTCCAGGAAACGTCGGCACATTGCAAGTCAAGCTGTGACCTTGACATCACCGTTGACCAAAGACTTGCCGTTGGTCAGAATCATAGAAGCGGTCACACCAATTAACAGCCGGGCGCAAAAGCTTGTACTGCTTTAGCAGGTCGGTCTGTAGTTGTGCACGACAAGCCCAAACGGTTGGTAGAGGTGAGCTTTGACGCGGACTGACATGGGCTAAGCTGAAGCAGCGTTGACAAACAAGTCTGAACTAGCCGATCTTCTGCCCTGCAGCGAGCAGCGTTGACTTTGACCTGATGGCTTTGCCTACAATGGTGACTGTCAAGCTGAAAGATTGCTTTGGTTTTGTCCCTTCCACGACTCGTGATTGTCTTACAAGAAAATGGGCTGTAGCCCAACTAATCAAAGGCCACTTCCTAGTTTCACGTCTCCTCCG